TTGATGTTTCTCTCTCTCTCCCTTCCACTCTCTCTAAAGATAAGCAAAACATATTTTTTTAAAAATCACAAATTCCTCTAAAAAAAAAAAAGAAGAAGAAGAAATTAAAGACCTAAATAAAACTGTTGTATTTGTGGATCAGTGAACTCAACATTAAGATGTCAAGTCTCTGTAAATTAATGTATAGACTCAAGGCAATTTAATCAAAATTGCAGCAGGTTATTTTAATAGAAATTGTCAAGCTTGCCAAAACCGGTTTGGCTCAATGGATAGAGTGTCAGCTTGGGGACTGAAGGATCCCAGGTTCGATTCCGGTCAAGGGCATGTACCTTGGTTGTAGACATATCCCCAGTAGGGGGTGTGCAAGAAGCAGCTGATCGATGACTCTCTGTCATCGATGTTTCTAATTCTCTATCTCTCTCCCTTCCTCTCTGTACAAAATCAATAAAATATATTTTTTTAAAAATTGTCAAACTTATTCTAAAATTTATATAGAATTCAAATATCTAGCATAAACAAAACCATTTTTAAAAAGAGAAACAAAGTGTGCACACTCACACTACCTAATTTCAAGAGAGTCCAGTAATTAAGAGTGTGATATTGGCATGAGGAAAGACAAACCAACAGAAACAGACCCGAACATATATGGGCAAACATGAATATTACTGCTATCTAGTGGGAAAAGACCAAGACTGCTGCTAAACATCTTACAATACCCAGGACAGCCCACACAATAAAATATTATCTGGCCTAAAATGTCAAAAGCGCCACGGTTGAGAAACCTTGTTCTAACAAAAAATATAGGAGAAAACCTTTGTGACTTAGGATTAGGCCAAAATTTCTCGGGTAGGACACAAGAAGTATAAACCACCAAAAAATAAAATTCAATAAACCAACTCCATCAAAATTAAAATTTCTGCTCTTTTAGATAGAAAAATACAAAGAAAAAACACAGACAGGGAGAAAATATTCACAAAACACATTATCTGATAAAGGACTTTCATCTATAATATATAAAGAATCGCTTCTTGGCCTTTAGGCTAAGATCAAGTGTAGTATAATATATAAAGAACTCTCAAAATTCAATAAATGGAACAAATCAGCAAGGAAAAAAATGGGGAACAGACTTATATAGATACTTCACTAAAGAGGAAAGATGGAGCCCTAAGTGGTATGGCTAGGTTGGTTGGGTGTCCTTCAGTGAACTGAAAGGTTACCAGTTCAATTCCCAGTCAGGGCACATACCTGGGTTCTGGGATCAATCCCCAGTAGGGAACATGCAGTAGGCAGCTGATGTTGCACTCTCACATCAATGTTTCTCTCTTTCTCTCTTTCTCCCTTCCATTTTCTCTTTCTCTCTAAAAATCAATTAAAAAACCTTAAAAAGAAGAAACATGGATGGCAAATAAGTACACAAAAAAGGTGCACAGTATTATTAGTCATTAGGAAAATGCCTACTAAAACCACAATGAAACACCATAATAAACCTAGAATGGATAAAATTTAAAAAACTGATAATACCAAGAGCTCAAAGAATGCACAGCAACTAGTACTCTCATACACTATGGAGTATGTAAAACATTACAGTCACTTAGGAAAACAGTTTTGACACTTTCTTATAATGTTAGATAATCACCCATAAATATTTAACTACTGAATAAGGCTTTATTTTTCCTCTTAACAAATATGTACAAGTTATTTCCCTATTTGGTCATAATTTTTCGATTTCTTCTAAGTTTATGATTATGTCCTAAATCAATGGTTCTCAAAATGGGGTCTGAGGCTCCCTGGGGGTTACTGACCTCACTTTAGTGAACCCTGTTCAATGATCCCTTTTCTAACTACATTTGTGAGCCTCCCTTTTCTAACTACATTTCTATGTAAGGCCAGATTTTCTTCCTCTTTTTTTTAATTTTTTAAAATATATTTTTACTGGAGAGAAACTGAGATGGCAGCATAGTTAAACACCTAAACTGCTGCCTCACACAACAATTTCAAAACTACAACTAAAAAACAAAATGGACACCATCCAGAACCACAGGAAAGCTGGCTAAGTGGAAATTCTACAACTAGAAGGAAAGAGAAAAACACATTGAGACTCAGAGGAGCTGCAAAAGGCTGAGGTACAAAAACGCATGGGAGCACGGAGAGTACTGAGCTGGCTTTCTCAAGTGGGAGGGAGATGGAAGCTCCTGACTGCACTGAACTCCAGTTCCGGGAGAGACTCTGGGAATCCAGACTCATTCGGGGAGAAACTGAACTGTCTGGCAGCAGGAGAAACTCGAGGGCAGCTTTCTCTCGAAAGTGCTTGCAGTGATTACTGAGGGACACTGAGATCCAGGGGCCTCTTAGGGCAGGGCTGAAAGGAAGCCAAGGCTGTCTGCTCCGCCCTGAGACTCCACCCCATCCAAGTTGAGCATAGAGGCTTTTGTAATTTTGCAAGTCTTATCTCATAAGGGTGTCTCCAGCACAGAAGTTCTCCCAGTGTGTAGACACAGCTGATCATGACAGCCAATAGGCCTGGAAGTCAAATCCTCCCAGTGATACCAACAACAATAAAGGCTTAACTACAACAAGACTGTGCACACAGCCACAAAGGGGTGCACCAAGAGTGTCCACCTCAGGTAACTGAGAAGGCTGAGCCACTGGGCCCTGCTAGGACACCTAGCACACAAAACTACTCTATCAACTCAGGGAAGCAGCCAAAATGCAGAGACAACAAAACATATCACAAATGAAAGAAATTGAGGAAAACAAATGACTGGATATAGAGTTCAAAACCACAGTTATAAAGTTTTTCAAGAATTTCCTAGAAAAGGCTGATAAATTTAGTGAGAGCCTCGAGAATATGAAAAAGAACCAACTAGAAATTAAACATGCACTGATTGAAGTAAAAAATATTATATAGAGACCTAACAGACTAGAGGATGGCAAGAATCAAGTAAAAGATTTGAAGTACAAAAAAACAAAAAACACTCAATCAGAAAAGCAAAAAAAATCCAAAAATTTGAAGACAGTGTAAGGAACCTCTGGACAACCTCAAGAGTACCAACATCCGAATTATGGGGATGAAAGAAGAAGAGAGAGAGCAAGATACTGAAAACCTATTTGAAGAAATAAAGACAAAAAACTTCTCCCATCTGGTGAAAGAAATAGACTTATAAGTTCAGGAAGCACAGAGAACCCTACACAAGAGGAATCCAAAGAGGACCACACCAAGACATATCATAATTAGAATGCCAAAAGCAAAAGACAGAGAGAGAGAATATTAAAAGCAGCAAGAGAAAAACAGTTACCTACAAGGGAGTACCCACACGATTGTCAGCTGATTTCTCAACAGAAACTATGCAGGCCAGATGGGAGTGGCAAGAAATATTCAAAGTGATGAATAGTAAGAACCTATAACCAAGATTACTCTACCCAGCAAAGCTATCATTCAGAATTGAAGGCCAGACAAAGAGCTTCACAGCTAACGGAGTTCATAAACACCAAACCAGTATAATATGAAATGCTGAAAAGTATTCTTTAAGAAGAGGAAGAAGTAGAAAAAGGTAAAGATAAAAATTAGGAACAACAAATACATATCTATCAACAAGTGAATCTAAAAACAAAGTGAATAAAAAATCTGATGAACAGAATAAACTGGTGAATATAATAGAATCAGGGGCATAGAAAGGGAGTGGACTGACAATTCTCGGGGGTAAGGGGGTGTGGGAGGTGTGGGAAGAGACTGGACAAAAAGCATATATCTATAGATGAGGCCAGTTGTGGGGAGATAAGGGCATAGGGTAGAGTGGGAACTGGGTGGAGTGGAGCTTTGGGGGAGGGGGAAAGAGGAACAATTGTAATAATCTGAACAATAAAGATTTGTTAAATTTTAAAAAATAAAAACAAAAGGACTGGAAGAAGCAATAAATAAATTAAAAATTCTCTTTTTATTTATAAAAATAAAAAAATAAAAAAATATTTTTACTGATTCAGAGAGGAAGGGAGAGGAAGAGGGAGATAGAAACATTAATGATGAGAATCACTGATTAGCTGCTTCCTACATGCCCCCTACTGGGGATCAAGCCCACAACCAGGTATATGCCTTTGACTGGAATCGAACCCTTTAGTCCAAGGCTGATGCTTTATCCACTGTGCCAAACCAAGGCTAGATTTTCTTTACATACTTCAACCAAAACAATGCATCCCAAAGGAATAAATGCAGAAGCAGATATGAGAATCTAGTTGTAAAAGGTTAATTGTGTGTCACTTGACTGGACCACAGGGTGCCCATATATTTGGCTAAAAACTATAGTAGGTATGTCTGGATAAGATTACCATTTGATCCATAGACTGAGTTAAGCAGCTTGCCATTCCAATGTGGGCAGGCCCCATCCAATCCTTTAAAGGCCTGAATAGAACAAAAAGCTGAGTAAGAGAGAATTCCTTCTCTCTGCCTAATGGTCTTTGAGATGGGACATTGGTCTTCCCCTGTCTTTGGACTTGGACTCGGAATGGAACATAAGCCATCAGCTGGTCTGGACCTCAGGCCTTTAGACTCAGGCTGCAACTATACTATCAGCTCTCCTGAGTCACCAGGTCACAGATATTGGGAATTCTCCATGATTACAGGAGCGTATACAGTGTGTGTGTGTGTGTGTGTGTGTGTGTGTGTGTGTGTGTATCTCACTGGTTTTATTTTTCTAAGAGACCAACTGTTTTCTATGAAGCCTGACATTAAAAAAATATAAAGCAATGCTACTCTTTCAACTAATTTTTGTTGTTGTTTGGGAAAATAGTCACTTTTCACTTTAACATACATTATTTATGTTAATATATAATAGGTTTGGCATTTTAAATGTTTTAATATTTAGTAAGCTAAATATCGATATAGATAACACATATAAACAATAGAGAAATGGAATATTAATCGCTTTCAATTCTTCATAGCTAAATAAGAATTTCTCATGCTGTTTACCGTAAGTAACACAGTTTACCAGTTATATAAGACATACCTGATCATCCCCAGAACCCTTCTGAGCTGTTTCTTCCAAAGAGACCATATTAGAAAAAATAGTCTGTGTTCTACTATTTTCTTGAGGTGATGACTGCTGCCATACATGACTGGTCAATGGAACAACCTGAAAATCACAAGCAGATTTAAAATAGTATTAACAAAATCTAACACAAATTTCTCAGTTGATAAACCTTTTCATAAATATGACATTTCAACATCACAACCACTTATTCGTTATTATCCTCACTGAACTTATGATTATCCTGTTAACTCAATATTCTTTTCAATAAACTATAGCAGTTCCTTAACTTCCTATACCCTCAGAGGTAGAAGAAGCAAGCAAAGACATGCAAATTATATAAAAATCTTTTTAAAAAAATATATTTTATTGATTTTTCACAGAGAGGAAGGGAGAGGAATAGATAGTTAGAAACATCGATGAGAGAGAATCATCGACCAGCTGCCTCCTGCACACACCTCCTACTGGGGATGTGCCCGCAACCAATGTACATGCCCTTGACCAGAATCGAACCTGGGACCTTTCGGTCCACGGACCGATGCTCTATCCACTGAGCCAAACCGTTTCGGCTATATAAAAATCTTAATGTTTGAGATACCTCAGAAATTAGCTCTAATAGTAAGGACTAAAATAAAAGTTAAGCTCATTTTATGAAACTGGTTGAAACAGGGCCTTCCCAGTTGTAGAAAACAGCAATAAAAGCTGTGACTGCTTACCAAGGCTGAAACAATGCAAATGAAAAAGATCAGATGCAATCAAACAAAAATGAACTAGGTCAAATCACTCTCTGGTTCAGGCACTGATTCTCAAGATTTTACTCAATATCCCTGGAGAATAAAAACCCAAAGCTTCCAATATTAGACTACTTCCTAAAAAAACAGATACAAAGGACAGGCATAGACAACCACAAAACACCAGGCAGAGAAGGGTGTACCAAAAATCAAAACAAAACAACACTCCTATTAAAAAGGTGATTACAAACTACGCATTCAAAATACATTTTAAAAATAAGAATATCTCAGATTCTCAGAGAGATAATGAAGACACAATGGCCGTAAAAAAAGAAAGCTGTTATAAAACAGGCAGCTATGAGTCAAAAAAAGATGAATGCTGCCTGGCCAATGTGGCTCAGTGGCAGAGCATCAGCCTATGAACCAGGAAATCACAATTCAATTCCTGGTCAGGGCACATGCCCAGGTTGTAGGCTTGATCCACATCGGGGGCATGCAAGAGAGAGCTGATTCATGATTCTCTCTCATCACTGATGTTTCTATCTCTCTCTCCTTTTCTCTTCATATCTGAAACAAAACAAAACAAAAAAACAATATTTTTTAAAAAGACGAATGCTAATAAAATATTAATAACAACAAATGTAACAGCCTGTGAAGGAAATCCCAGGTTATCAGATTTCCCCCCAGAATTACTGCTACTACACTAACAAAACTTTCTTACAGAGCACATACAACAAGGTGTTTTTGGTCATAGGAAGGTCAGCTTAACTGAAAATCTATTCAATAACTAAAGAGAAAAAGGAGATTTATAAGATATAAAGTGTTCCAAGAGGTTTTTCTCAAAATACAGAGCACCATGGAACACACCCACGTTGCTTCAATGGCAATTTTTAAATTAATGAGGCAAAGTTTGATATTACAATGATATTAAGAGACTTCAGTACCTCACTTTCAATAATGGATAGAACAATCAGATAGAAGAACAAGGAGATAGTGAACTTAACTCTATAGATAATAGAAATATACAGAATACTCCACTCAACAACAGCAGAATATGCATTTCTCAAGTACACATGAAATATCCTTCAGGATAGAAAAAATTAAGCACAAAACAAGTCTTAACAAATTCAAGAAGATTAAACTCACACACACCTATCTTTTCCAACCACAATGAGATGAAACTAGATATCAACAGCACACAAAAACTGAAATTCCACAAATATACGAAAATTAAACAATATACTCTTAGAAAAACAACAGGTCAAACAAGTCACAAGAGAAATTATAAAATACTTTGACATAATGACGATATAAAAATACCAAAATTTATGGAATGCAACAAAAGCAGAGGTAAGAGAAAGTTTATGGCTGGCTGTAAGGTGTTATATATATTTTAATAGGTAAGATCAGCCCTGGCCAGTGTGGCTCATTTGGCTGGAGCACTGTCCATACACCAGAAGGTAGCAGGTTTGATTCCCAGTCAGGGCATATACCCAGGTTGTGGGTTTGATCCCTAGTTAGGGTACGTGTGGGAGGCAGTCAATCATTGATGTTTCTACCTCCCTCTCCCTTCCTCTCTGAAATCAATCAATATATATATATATATATATATATATATATATATATATATATATATATATATATATATATATAAAAGCAAAACTACATTATAAAGCTATGTAATTGTATGGTAGTGACCTAAAAACAGAGAAATACCTAAGAAACCTGAAACATCAATCAGAAAGAATGTGTCACTCCTATGTTCATAGCAGCACAATTACAAAAGCTAAGATCTTTAACAGTTCAAGTGCCCATCAGTAGAAAAGTAGATTAAAAAAAAAACACCTGTGTTACATTTACACCATGGAATACTATGCTGCAGTGAAAAAGGATATCTTACCTCTTGAGACAGCATGGAGAGACCTGAAGAATATTATTCTAAGCTAAATAAGCCAGTCAGAGAAAGAAAAGTATCACATGATCTCACTCATATGTGGAATCTAATAAACAAAATAAATTGATGAACAAAATGGATCTAGAAACACAGAAGCATGGAATAGATGGTCAAATGGCAGAGGCAAGGCAAGGGGAAGGGAGGAGAGGAGGGGGCAGGGGAGAGATCAGCCAAAGAACTCAGACGCATATATGCATAACCCATAGATACACACAACAAGGTGGTGAAGGCCTGGGGTGAAGGGTGGGCTAGAAGGGGCCAATGGAATAAAAAAGGGAACATATGTAATGTTGTCAACAACAAAGATTTTTTAAAAATAACCTAGCTGGTTGTGGCTCAGTGGTTAAGAATGGACCATGCAGAAGGCAGCTGAACAATGATTCTCTCTCATCATTGATGTTTCTATCTTTCCCTTTTCCTTCTTCTCTGAAATCAATAAATATATATATATTTAAATATATATATATATGTGTGTGTGTGTATATATATATATTTTTTTTTTCATACTAATCATTATTATTATTATTATTGGACAGGATATTGAAAAACTGGAACCTTCTTTGGTAGGATAAAAAACGGTACAATCGCCGAAACCGGTTTGGCTCAATGGATAGAGCGTCAGCCTGCGGACTGAAGGGTCCCGGGTTCAAGGGCATGTGCATTGGTTGCGGGCACATCCCCAATAGGGGGTGTGCAAGAGGCAGCTGATCGATGATTATCTCTCATCGGTATTTCTAACTCTCTATCCCCCTCTCTTCCTCTCTGTAATAAAATATATATATTTTTTTAAATGGTACAATCACCACAAAAACAAAAACAAAACAGAACAGCGATCCCTCAGGAAATTAAAACCAAAACTACCATATGACCCATATGATGCTACAATCGCACTTCCTTCTGGGTATATATCCAAAAGAACTGAAAGCAAGTCACTTTGCAAGAAAGTTTGTCAGTTTCTCACAAATTAAACATACTCTTATTACACTATTACTAAAATTGGAAATTAAAGGGGGGACTTGACTACTACACTACAGACATACACAGAATTATAAAGGAGATAGACGATCCCTAACTTATAATTCAGCTTATAAATTTTCGACCTTACGATGGTGGATATCTTATATGTTCAGTAGAAACCATACTTCAAATTTTGAATTTTAATCCTTCCCCAGGCTAGCAATATGCAATATAATACTCTTGTGATGCTGGGCAGCAACAGCAAGCCTCAGCTCCAAATCAGACACAAGATTATGAGGATAAATAACCAATAATCTACAATGTACTGTGTTGCTAGCATTTTTAAATATCGTGTTTTTATGTTTTCAAATCCCATCATGCCAACAAAAGCCCATCAGTGCCTCTTGCTTCTGGTGAGAAGAGGAAGGCAATTAAAACTTATGATGGGGCTACATCCCAATAATGTAAGTGTTCTCAGCACATTTAAGGTAGGCTAGCCCAGCGTTTTTCAACCGCTGTTCCGCGGCACACTAGTGTTCCGCGAGATGTTGCCTGGTGTGCCGTAGGTGCAGACAAGACAAGAATTTTATAATTTTTCACTATTTTGTTTACTTAATATTTCATAATAAAGTAATTATAAAATACTTTCTTTGTGTTTATTTGATTCCTATTCAAGAGAATTACTTTATATATAGTCAATATAGGCACAGAGTTAAATTTTTTAACATTTTCTAATGGTGGTTGCCTCGTGATTTTTTTCATGAAACAAGTGTGCCTTTGCCCAAAAAAGGTTGAAAAACACTGGGCTAGCCTAAACTATGATGTTCTGTAAGTTAGGTGTATTAAATGCATTTTCAACTTATACTCAACTTACAATGGGTTTACTGGAACTGAGCCCCATTTAAAGTCAAGGAGCATCTGTACTATAACATTCATAACTGTATGTTAAGCAATTTGTTAAGTTAGAGGAAATGGACAAAAACATGAAAAATCACAAATTACTGAAACTGATTCAAGAAGGAATAGGTGACCTAACCGGTTTGGCTCAGTGAATAGAATCCGTCTGTGACAGAAAGGTCCCAGGTCCGATTCCAGTCAAGGGCATATATTGTACCTCCTGCACACTCGCCAGTGGGGAGTGTGCAGGAGGCAGCTGATCGATATTTCTCTCTCATAGATGTTTTTAACTCTCTACCCCTCTCCCTTCCTCTGTAAAAAATCTATAAAATGTATTAAAAAAAAAAAAAAAAAAGGAATAGGTGATCTGAGTAGATCATCTGTATAGCAAGAAAACAGTATAATTAAAATTTTTTCCAAAAAGAAAAGCCGAAACACATATGATAGAATCTACCAAACACTCAAAAAATTATTTATTCTGATCCTTCAAACTCAAAAACAGAAGAAACACTTACAACGCATTTTATAAAGTCAGTATTACCCTGATACTAAACCAGATAAAAACATCACAAGGAAACTATAAACCAGTATCTTGAAAATATATATGCAAAAAATTAAAAAGAAAATACTAGGTAAATTAGTATATTTGTGTTCCTTTACCCAGCAATATGTATTTATATATCATGATGCTGTAAATTATCTTCAGAATGCACAAATCACTTAGTAACCCAATATCAATTAATACACCAATTAATAGCATAATTTGACAAAATCTAACACCCCTTTCATGGTAAACTCTCAACAAACCAGCAATAAAAGAACACTTCATCAACCTGGTAAAGCCCTCTATGAAAAACCTACAACTAACATCATACTTTTGGTGAAAGACTGGGCGTTTTCCCATTACAATCAAGAATAAGTCAAGGTAATCCTCTCTCATCACTTCTATTCAACATTATACTGGAGGTTCTAATCAGGGAAATTAGGGGAAAATAGATAGATAGATAGATAGATAAATAGATAGATAGATAGATAGATATCCAAATTGAAAAAGAATAAAACTATATGTACTTGCATTTTACATGTATCCTAGGGAGTCTATTAAAAATCTCTTAGAACTAATAAGTTCAGCAGTTGCAGAATACAAGATCAATACACAAAAGTCAATTGTCTTTTTATATACATGCAATGAACAATCCAAAAATGGGAGGAAAAATTTCACTTATAATAACACCAAAAAGAATAAAATACTCAGAGTAACCTAACTTACATTGAAAACTATAAAACATTATTCAACAAATTTACAGATCTATTGAATAAATAAATGAAAAGATAACCAATGATACTAGATCAGAAGACCTAATGTTAAGATGACAATTCTTCCAAATTTTGTATTCCTATCAAAATACCAGCTGACTTTTTAACAAGCTGATCCTAAAGTTCATATGTAATTACAATGAATCAAAAATAGCCACACACACACACACACACACACACACACACAAATCTTGAAAAAAGGATGAAATTAGAGGACTCATACATCTCCATTTCAAAACGAACTACAAAGCAGTAGTAATCAAAAAAAGTGTGGCATGGCATTCAAAATGGAACTGAATTAAGAATTTAGAAATAAACTCATATCTATGATCAACTGATTTTCAACAAGGATGCTAAGACTTATCAGTTGGGAAAGAATAGCCTCTTCAACAAATGGTGTTGGGACAACTGGTAGCCACATACAAAAGAATGAAATTGAACTCTTTTCTCACACCACATATAATAATTAACTGAAAGTGGTGAGCACACAATACAACATACAGATGATATATTGTAGAATTGTACACCTGAAACCTATATAATTTTAATCAACTAGAGGCCCAGTGCATGAAATTCATGCACTGGAAGGAGGGGTCCCTCAGCCTGGCCTGCACCCTAGCAGTGCAGGAGCCCTCAGGGGATGTCCGACTGATGGCTTAGGACTGCTCCCCAGGAGGAGCAGGCCTAAGCCGGCAGTCGGACATCCCACCACTGTCATTGCACTTGCCAGCCGTGAGCCTGGCTCAGGGCTTCTGGCTGAGCGATGCTCCTGCTGTGGGAGCACACTGACCAACAGGGGGACAGCTCCTGCATTGAGCATCTTCCTCCTGGTGGTCAGTGCATGTCATAGTGACTGGTTGTTCTGCTGTTCGGTCAATTTGCATATTAGCCTTTTATATAGGATTTCACCTCAACAAATTCAATAAATAAATGAATAAATTATTGACAAAAAAATTAACTCAAGCCCGGCCAGTGTTGCTCAGTGGTTGAGCATCAAACTATGAACCAGGATGTCACAGTTAGATTCCAACAAGGGCACATACTCAGGTTGCAGACTAGATCCCAGCAGGGGGCATGCAGGAGGCAGCTAATCAATGATTCTCATCATTGATGTTTCTATCTCTCCCTCTCCCTTCCTCTCTGAAATCAATAAAAATATATTTTATAAAAATAAATCTAGGGCCGAAACTGGTTTGGCTCAGTGGATACAGCATCGCCCAGCGGACTGAAAGGTCCCGGGTTCAATTCTGATCAAGGGCGTGTACCTTGGTTGCGGGCACATCCCCAGCGGGGGGTGTGCAGGAGGCAGCTGATTGATGATTCTCTCATCAATGTTTCGAGCTCTCTATCCCTCTCTCTTCCTCTCTGTAAAAAATCAATAAAATATATTTTTTTAAAAATAAAAAGAATAATAAAAAAAGTAAAGTTTATTGATTAAAAAAACACTTTAAAAAAATAAATCTAGGGAAACAGTAAAAGATAAAAACTGAAATAATGAATTAAATGATGAAAAGAAATAGAACTAAACTTAAACCAAGATGTTTCCTTGGATAAAAATATAAGTAAATCCCAGCTATCAGATCAGGGAAAAATAAAGCAGAATTACACAAAACAGGAATGAGAAATGGAAATAACCACAGGTGCAATTGAAAAAAAAATGTAAAAATACTATGGAGTACTCTATTACAATTACCTAGAAAATCTTACTGAAATTATTTTCTAGAAAAATTAGAAATTACCAAAATTAACCCAAGAAAAATAAGTGAGTCTATATAGACTATCACCCTGCAAGGAATCAAGACTCAAAGTCGTGCCAAGACCGGTTTGGCTCAATGGATAGAGCGTTGGCTTGGGGACTGAAGGGCCCGGGTTCGATTCCGGTCAAGGGCATGTACCTTGGTTGCGGGCATATCCCCAGTAGGGGGTGTGCAAAAGGCAGCTGATCGATGACTCTCTCTCATCGATGTTTCTAACTCTCTATCTCTCTCCCTTCCTCTCTGTACAAAATCAATAAAACATATTAAAAAAAAAAAAGACTCAAAGTCGTTTCACTCATGATTATTTTTTCAAACATGCAAGAAATACTCATATATTACTTAAACTATCCCAGGGCATAGAAAAATAAAAATCTTCCCAATTCCTTGTATGAAAAATGGCATAATAAAAAGTTCAAATTTGACAAAGGCAGGTCAAGGAAACAATTTTTTTTAATAAAACTTAAAACCATTATCATTTATAAAATATCTACAAATAAAATCCAGTAGTTCCTTAAGAGAAAAGCACACTATAACTAATAATTTTTATCGTAGGAGCACATGAAAACATGAAGAACGAAGTATATGTTAATAGGTCAAAAAAGATTAAGAACTGTGCCATGCAAATGAATCTGGAGATAGGGAACAGGTTTCCAGCATCCAGCACAATGCATGGCCAGTGGGGAACGCTCAATGAATTAAAGACCCACTGGGATACTTACTAGGCAAAACAACTATTATTCTTTAATGATCAATAGTCCGTAGCATCACTAACAGAATTTTCTGTGATGATGAAACTATTTTACGTCTGCATTTTCCAATAGGGTGGCCACTAGTCAAGTATGGTTACTGAGCGCTTGAAAAGCGGTTAGTAGGTATTTTTAATTTTTTTTTTCTTTTAACTAAGATGTAAAGAGCCGCACGTGGCTAGTGACTACTGAACTGAACACAGACAGCGCAAGTCCATCTGTAGTCTTTCCCATTGTTGCACTTGGTTTCACTCTGCAGTTTACAACTCGTCCAAGGATAGTTCTAAACAATAAACCCTGGGCTCCGTTTTGTCCCCATAACGGACCCTGCACCAGAACAGAAACCTAATAAACGATGGCCTGACATCAGAACCGTATAGCAAACTTGTTTTACCTCCCTAAAAAAAAAAAAAAAGCAACCAATTAAACGCAAGTCATTTCAAAATCCTCAAGATCTTCAGGACCCAGCCGTAAAAAAACAGCTCTTTCTCCATTGCACATTAATCTTGTGCTTCAGCAGTTTCCTAGACTGTTTGGGGCTGCGGGGCAGAAGACTCATGCGTTTCTAAGTCGCTCTCCTACTTGCTGGGGACCCCCTCCCCCCCCCCCATCCACCCCCCTCATTTGCTACAAACCCGGGCCCCGAGAAGCACCATCTGCGAGGAGCCTCCAGGGACCCAACTATTCGCGCAGACACCGTTCCCCCGGGGGGTGTCCTTCACTCAGGCAAACTAATCTCCTAACTGTCTTCCCAACAAGATCGTCCCTCGGCAACCACCTTCTCTCCCCACTCCCACACCAGCTCCTCCCAAAAGCCCCAGCTCCTCCCAAAAAGCTTTCCTCCTCAAGGGCAAGAGCCGGGAACGCCGGCTCCTCCGAACACCTGGTCTCATTCAAAAAGCCCGGGAACCATCAAGAGCAACAACAGAGGGCCCTGCAGGGACCTGGAGAGGAGGCAGCCCTCACCAGCCTTTCGAAACGAAGACAGACAGCGAGCAGGAGGAGGCAGCCCCGGCCAGGAGCCCGCCGAGCGCTCCAGGACGACCCGTCACCCCGCCCGCCGGCGCGCGCGCCCCGCAGGCCCACCTCCTCCGAGTAGCGGAGCTTCGGCAGCGACGGCGGCGGCAAAGGCCCGCGGGGGTGCGCCTGCAGCCAGGCCTTGGCCTCCTCGTCTTCCTCGTAGTCGTCCGAGCTCTCCTCCGCCTGGCTTTCGAAGTTCAAGTCCGTGTCCGGTTCCCGCCGCTCCTCTTCCCCCACGTCCTCCACCATCACCACCTCATCCTCGTCTAAGCTCTCCGCCGCCGCCTCCTGGTCCTCGTCCTCGGCCTCCTTCTCCTCCGGGACCTCCTCCTCTTCCTCCTTCTCCACCTCCTCCTCCTCCTCCTCCTCGAGCTCGCGGGGCGAAGGCAGGTCCTCAGGCTCCATCTTGGCGTCTCGCTCCCGGAGGCAGAGGAGGAGGGGGAGAGGGGAGAGGGGAGGGAGGGGAGGGGAAGAGAGCCGACTGGCGGTTGCGGCCTCACGCAGGCGCAGACGCCGCCACCGCCTCCCGCCCCGCGCGGCGCCGCGCGGACCGGGCGGGGCTGGGGGTGAGCGCGCGCGTTGCTAAGGACGCCCCGCGCGGGGGCCGGCGGGAAGGCGCGGCGGGGGCGGCGGGTGACGCCACGCCTGGGCCCCCCGTCACCGAGGAGCTTGATGACAGTGCTGAACGCTCACAATAAACCCCCGTCTGGGCTCCTCTCACGGGAAGGGGAGAGTTTAGTCCTCGGCTGGGCCGGGCCAGAACTGAATGTTGACCCTGCACCAAGGGGAGATCAGTCCCGAGGGCAAAACGATAATAGTCAAACGTGCACATTATAGTCTTTTTTTAAATATATATATCTCTTTTCATTTTATTTTTAAATTAAATTTATGGGGGTGACATTGGTTAATTATGCATGTCTTTTTAAAGAAGAACAACAAGGATTCGATTTCGGTCAAGGGTATATGCGGGGGTTGAAGGCTCAATCCCCAGTAGAGAGCATGCAGGAGGCAGCCAATCAATGATTCTCTCTCCCTCCCTCTCTGAAATCAATTAAAAAAAAAACCCCACAATCAAACTATAAGGTATTAGAGGAAACCTTTTGGGGTTAATATAGTCATTTTTAAAGGTTAAGTGCCTAAGGTGTGACAGGCTGTAGGATGGGCACTTGAAATTAACAAGGGCAGTAGAGGCGTTAAGTAAGGACTGGGCACTAGAATCATCGCCACTTAAAAGTGGTGTGGCCAAACCGATGTGGTTCAGTGGATAAAACATCAGCCTGCGGACTCAAGGGTCCCAGGTTCGATTCCAATTAAGGGCATGTACCTTGGTTGTGGGCACAGTAGGGTGTGCAAGAGGCAGCTGGTCGATGTTTCTCTATCATTGACGTTTCTAGCTCTATCCCTCTCCCCTCCTCTCTGTAAAAAATCAATAAAATATATAAAAAATAAAATAAAAAAGTGAAAAAAAAAGTTATGCAGGGAACCCCACCACTGTTGCTCAGTGTTTGAGCATCAACCAGGAGGTCATGGTTCAATTCTGGTTAGGGCCCATGGGAGGGTTGCAGGCTCATCCCCAGTGTGGGGGGCTTGCAGGAGGCAGCTGATCAATGATTCTCTCTCATCATTGATGTCTCTCTTCCTTTCTGAAATCAATAAAAATATTATATATATATATACATAAATTTATTAGTACTGGCTTAGAACACAGTCATAGTATAGTGGTGGAGTTGAGAGTTCAGCAGTAGCAATGGCCAATGGAACAAGCAGAAATATTCTCACCAACTGATGCTTTTTTTTTGTCTTAATGTTTTTGAGAGAGAGAGAGAAAGAAGAGAGAGAGAGAGAGAGAGAGAGAGAGAGAGAGAGAGAGGGAGAGAGAGGAAATAGAGAGAAATATTGATTTGTTGTTCCACTTATTTATACATTCATTGGTTGATTCTAGTATGTGCCCTGACCAGGGATCAAACCCCCAACTTTGGCATATTGGGATGATGCTCTAACCAATGAAGTTACCTGGAACAGTTCAGAACTGGTTTTTATGGCATGGCCTTAGTCATGGGTCCTGCTCCCCAACTTTCCTTGGTTCTTGCCTTTCTTGGTCAGCTATTCACACTTAATGCTGTGTGATAAGCAATCACAAAACCTCAGTGACCTAGAATAAAAAGCACTACTTCTTGCCTTTGCACCAGCTGGGTGCCTGGGGATGGCTGCTTCAGGCTGCAGCGTATGAGTTGGCTGCGGTGCCTTGACTCCACCCTGTCTTTCATTATTTTGGAACCAGCAGGTTGCCTTGAGAATGCCTCTTCCGCCCTAACCGGTTTTGCTCAGTGGACAGGGCGGTGGCCTGCAGACTGAAAGGTCCCAGGTTCCATTTTGGTCAAAGTCATGTACCTTGGTTGTGGGCACATCCCCAGTGGGGGGTGTGCAGGAGGCAGCTGACTGATGTTTCTCTCTCTCTCTCCCTTCCTCTATGTAAAAAAAAAATATATATATATATATGTATATATATATACATATATATATGTATATATATACATATATATATATTTATTTATTTATTTTTTTTTTTTTTAAAGAATGCTTCTTCCATGACAGAGGTAGGAAGCTCCATAAGTAGAAACAAATGCCTCTTAAGGGCATGGGCACTTCCTCCCACAATTCATTGGCCAAAGCAAATCACATGGGCCACTCAGCTATTAAATTTAAAAAAAAAATTACCATTTGCGACAGCGTGGATAAACCTAGAGGGTATTACGCTAGATGAATAAGTTAGCCAGATAATGATAAATACCATATGTTTCACTTACATGTGGAATCTAGAGAATAAAATAAGTGAACAAATAAAATTGAAACAGACTCATAGATACAGGAGGTGTCTGATAGTTGTCAGAGGGGAGGAGGATTCAGGGACTGGGTAAAAAAGTGAAGCAATTAAGATGTACAAATTGGTAGTTACAATTTGTTCTTGCGGATATAAAATACAGCATGGGGAATATAGTCAATAATATTGTAATTGCTATGTTTGGTGCCAGGTGGGTACTGGAAATACCAGGGTGAACACTTTGTAAAGTATATAGCTGTCTAACCACTGTGTTGTACATTTGAAACTAATACAAAATAATATTGACTGTAAACTATAATTGAAAAAAAAGAAAGACTAAAAAGTGATAGAATCCTTTTCTGATTGAGAAGGTAAAAAATAAATCAGATGAGCCAATTCAACTTATTTCCCCATGGAGGTTGAGAGGATAAATTTACTAAATGAGCCAAGCTGGCGTGGTTGCATGTCTACCTATGAACCAGAAGGTCACAGTTTGAATCCCTGTCAGGGCACATGCCTAGGTTGCGGGCTTGATCCCCAGTGTGGGGTGTGCAGGAGGCAGCCAATCAATGACTCTCTTTCATCTTGGTGTTTCCAACTCTCTCTCTCTCTCTCTCTCTCTCTCTCTCTCTCCCTCCCTCTCCCTTCTTCTCTGAAATCAATAAAAGTGTATATATATTTTTAAAAAAATTTTTTAATTTACTGAATGATAAGCATAACATAAGATACCACCCCTTTTCCAAACCTGGTATCCAGCTTTCCCACGGGTTCTAAGAGCCCTACAAAAGCTCTCTAGTACAATATTGCTGAAGCTATCAAGAGTCAGCTTTTGTTGACTGAAATAAAAACCCCTCACTGATCCACAGGAGGAAGTCTAAGCCAAAAGGGAGAAAAGGTGTAGCGTGGGATACAGCTGTCAGGCTTGGAGAGGTTCTCAGAGACTAGGTGCCCAAAATGGCTAGATGGCATAAAGGGGTGGATAAAGAAAAGGAGGTTTTAACTGGAGACCAAAATAGTGACATTTAAAAGGCCCCAGGCATGGTTATAAGAGTGAGTTTCTGAAACAGGCTTTCCTGTGTGGTTATTAAAAATCCCTAGGATGGAGGGAGCACTTGAGATTTTGCTCCCCTATGTATGTTGTCAGTTTGACTCAAACTCATAAATTTAAAACAAAACAAAACAAAAAACCTAGGATGAAGACAAACGCTGAATTATAGAGAAAGTGGGTCAGATACCACTTTCTCCCAGCACACTATTCAGATAAGTGACAAGGAGTGCCATATGGACATCAAAGGGACTGAACGATATTTCTCTTGCATCAATGTTTCTTTTTCTTTTTTAAAATATATTTTTATTGATTTGAGAGAGGAAGGGAGAGGGAGAGAGAGATGAAAACATCAATGATGAGCGAGAACCATTGATTGGCTGCCTCCTGCACACCCCCTACTGGGCATAGAGCCCACAACCCAGGCATGTGTCCTTGTCAAAATTGAACCTTTTAGTCCCCAGGCCGACTGAGCCAAACCAGCTAGTATCAATGTTTCTCTCTCTCTCTCTCTCCCTCTCTCTCTCTCTCTCTCTCTCTCTCTCTCTCTCACACACACACACACACACACACACACACACACACACACACCTCTATCTCTCTCCTTTGTCTCGCTCTCAAAAATCAATTGAAAACACACCCACACCTATCCTTGGTTGAGAATAAAAAAAAAGAAGAGAAAGTGCAATACAGCTTCAAGCCGAGTCTGTCTGGTTACACAGACTATGGTACTTCCCGTGGAACCATACGGCGTAGAAGCTCCCAGTGGGACAGGAGGAGCAGGCACAGCCCCAGTCCTCACCCCGTTGTAAGTGGGACATGAGAAACTGTCAACATCTGCAGATGCTGCAAGGACAGCTATGCCCTCCGCAGCAAACAGGGTGTCAGTTAAGGACAGGATGAGGTAGGAGACTGTGAGGGCAGGGAAGGTTGTCTACAATTGTAGGACAGCTTTGGAGGAAGGAGGCTCTCACTGTAGGACTAGCCCAGTGGTCGGCAAACTCATTAGTGAACCGAGCCAAATATCAACAGTATAATGATTGAAATTTCTTTTGAGAGTTTTTAAAACTTAAACTTCTAACGCCACTTCTTCAAAATAGACTCGCCCAGGCCATGGTATTTTGTGGATGAGCCACACTCAAGGGGCTAAAGAGCTGCATGTGGCTCGAGAGCCGCGGTTTGCCCACCACTGGACTAGCCAAAGAAGACGGGCGAAAGTGTGCAAATGAAAGCCCTGCAATGAGAGAAAAGGGGAGGAGCTTGCATTTTTTAACATGGCTAAAAATGAAAAAACTTAGGTATGAAACTAGTTGCCATCATAGACCATTCTCTTCAGGAAAACAAGAGTGACCCAGTTAAATCATTAATCTGAGCATTTCACATCTCATTCAAAACCCCGCAAAGGCTTTCAACCTCATTCAGGATGAAATCCAAAGTCCTAACCATGGCTTGTAAGAGCCTACATGATCTGGCTCCAGTGCTAAATCCCTGCCCATTCCCCTTGCTCACCTCACTCCAGCCACCCTGACCTCCTAATATTTCCAAAAGTTGGAAAGCCTCTCCCACCTCAGGGTCTTGTACCTGCTGTTCCCACGGCCTG